AAATAACGGTTAACCGATTAACCCGAAATGTACATATCCTAGAAAAAAATAAATAAAAAAGATAACATTTTGAAAAACAAATAAATACAAACCAAGTGGAATTTGTCAAATGTATTGAGCTGGTGATCACAGTTTGAACAGTTGACAGCTATAGGCCTACAGCTTTCGTGCTTAAAACATAACTTGGTTTTTAAATGAAAGAGGGATCAGACACGGACAACATAACGGGTTAGGGTAACGTAACCCTATCACAACAGAGATCAACAACCTATAACAGGGCCTATGCACAGAATGCAGCTATTCAATACTCATTCTTGTTTAAGAATATGAGCATGTCTACTCAGGGGAGAGGCGGAGGCGATTCACAATCAGGCCAGCTGTAGAGAAGACCCTCTCAGCTGGAATTTGGGCATAAGATGAGGTTTGAGTCTGCGTATAGGGAGGGGCAGCAGCCATATCATTAGCTAGAACTAGCTAGATCTGATGGATTTGGAAATAAACGCGAGTGAAGTAATACCGGACGCGAGAGAGAGAGAGAGAGAGAGAGAGAGAGAGATCAGCACCTGAAGCCTCGCCCGCTTTGAGGGACTGGTGAGCGGAGCAACACACACCTTTAGACCTAACACACTTAGCTATGGCACTGTCGTATACATTGAATTATTCCATTTGGTCATATGTAATCAACTTAGGGCACCCCTCCAAAAAAAAAAATATATATATATATTCATAACTCGTATTCGAATACCTGAATAATTTTGAATATTCTATTAATCGTTCCCATCCCTACTAATAATCCATATTCTCCTCAGCACACACTGAAACCATCAGCATGAGAAGGCAAGTCACACTCATCACACCCAGGCAGGTGCATCAGTATTAGCATGGCTAGATCATCATTGGAGTTTAAAACATCTATTTACTATTTGAATTGGTATATTAGTGGTTCAAAGATGCCACTTTACATATTGAGTACAGAAAGGCAAACCAAACATGCAGTGCCTACCTTGTGTGAGGGAGCAGCGATGGGCTCAGAGAAGGCGAAGAAAGGCAGAGCCAAGTTCATGAAGCCATTCTTGAATGATTCCAGCTTCTTGTGTCCTTGGATAATCTTGATGAGCTCTAGGCACACCAGGCCGACCACAGCTGCCGTGGTCGTGGCGATGGCAGGAATGATCTTGCCAGCGATCAGTTTGCTCTGTATTGGAGAAAGAACAAAGTTAAAGTACTGTTTCAAGGAGCTACATTTGCAACGAAACTAAAAATTCAACTCAAAGCCACGAAAAGCAGTTCCCCACCTTGTGTCTGTCTGCAGGGGGAATGTCGTAGTTCTCTGCTCTCAGGTTGGATGATGCTACGATGAAGTCCATGTGGAAGTTGGTGTCATCATCCTGTTAACACGGAGGCACGGCAGTCAGAACAATAGAGCTACAATAAGTGCAGGTTATGTTTGCATTGAGGAATCACAGCATGCAAGTTATTCCAGCTAAACACAGAGAGGTGAAACGAACGTCTACCTTCTCAAAGTCAACAGCGCACAGTTTGAACGTGGAAGCCTCGGGGGAAGGCAGCTGGACCTTCAGGTCGTCCAGTCTGGAGTCATCTATGAAAAAAGAGCAGTTGCGAATGTGTCACAATGCATTCAAAATGACCCGACAACACCAGTCATTTGCCTAAACAACTCTTCGGCTGAAGATCTTAAAGTGTAATGCTTTAAATGATTTGTTGGTACATACATGTGTGCATCTTACCAACAGAGGAATTGCTGTTCTGCAGCTCCTGATCAGAGACGTGGATTTTAACCCCTGAACGGGGAGTGAAGGGGGTCACTTTGACATCCTGCAAGATCTTGATCACACCTGCACGATCAGCGCTGCCTTTCAAGCCGTATGATTGGGCGAACAGGTTGGCTGCTGCCACTACATAATCCAGGTGCAGCTCCTATTAAACAAAGGTCATTGGTCAGTATCTTGAGAGGAGAGATAAGTTCAGAACAGAACATCTCAGAGATTGACGATAGAAAACCATACTTACATTGCTAGTGCTGAAGTCTAGGCCGTGAGGGCACCTCTTGGGGCCGGACCAGAAGGGGGCACCAGAGCTGGTGAGCTGAAGGCCACAAATAATAAATGAATACCACATGATCACTGAGAATGCACACACACACACACATTTAAAACCCATTTATAAATTCTCCTCAGCACACACTGATACCATCAGCGTGAGAAGCAGAGTAGCACTCAGTTACACCCAGGGTGCATCAGTATTAGCATGGCTAGATCATCATCGGAGAACATCTACTGCATTAGCTATAAACCATCATTATTTTCTCCTATTGCATCGGCCAATAAAGTGACGTGTGCAGATGGCAGTAGCCAGGGTTCATCGGTTTTGCTAGGCTATTTGACTTAGTACTGTTGCAGAGGTTTTTATTTTTTATTTGATACAAATAACAAAAACGCCTGTGTCGTTTTTAAGGATTAGAACGATCAACCTTACTTATAACAACAATTACAGGTTATAGATTATGGTTGGTAAAACACAGTACTTTTAATATTGAAAATCATCTCCTTAAGTTGGTAATTGTATAGCAGACTAAAGAAGCTTTTGCAAGTTATTTTTTAAGAATGTTTGCGTGATGATGGCTTGAAAGGCAGTTTATATATTTTTTTATATTATTCTGTTTCTCTAGCACAAAAAGGGAATAAAAAACAAAACCTAAGCAGTAAAACATCTGCTATATTGTTATTCTAAACACCGGTAATGGCTGAAAAACGCAATCGTGGGCCCCCAGTCGGTACATTAGTGTTTTAAAAACGAAACTTTACAGACCAGATTTGACTTTTCAGGAGACTAAAACAAAGGCAATTTTACAAGCTGATAACATTGAGGAAAAAGCTAATAAATAACTAAGACTGGTGGAACGGAATTTAAATAAACACATAAATTACCAGGGCATATGGCTATGTTAGAGTCCATATGAATGAGGTGAGAAACCCAGGACCAGAACACAAGCATTCCAATTGAACGGTTGTATTCATCGTGCAGACAGCGGAATATGTACCTGCTCGGGGGGGAAGTTGTGCAGGAGCTGGCGGATGTTGTTGCTGTATTGGCACTGCCAGTGGTTGCGTGCCCAGGCGACGCAGTCGGCCCAGCTGTGGGGGCAGTCTGTGACGAGGCTCTTGTAAACGGCCTCCAGCACCTCCACAGGCTGAGCTCCGGGGAGCTTCAGAGTACGCTCCATGAATTTAGGATCTCTGCAAAGACAAGTCACCAAGAACCCTCATAAGATGGTTACAAACCAGGTAAGAGGCACCTGTTCAATTGTCCCATGAACGTATACGAGGTAAAACTATGACACTTTGTCAGCGTAACATTCTTTCAACCAGTTTAAAAATAAATGTTAATGTGGGATTTTGTCAAAAACTGTGGGGATCGTGCTGAGCTCGTTCACAGGTTGTAGATCAGTCATGAGGATAGCTTTTACAAGTACTGAAGACATCAATAAGAAAAAACAAACACAGCTCAAACTAGTACTGCAAGATACATTATTAAAAAAAAACGTTCTTGATAAAAAGCAGGTCATATGTATAGGTAACTACAGGGATATCATATTGACATGACGGGGAAGCTAACTCACGAGAGGTACTGTATGGAGTTCTCCGCTGGCTGTTTGAATAGTCCCTCGAACTCATCGCGGGCCCACTGCACAGAGAGAACACATTACTCTAACACTCAATTCATTAAATCACATTTACAGTACAAGTGTAAAACAAGAAACTGTTTCTTTAAGGTAGTGTTCTCATCTCTGGCACAGCATTGTAATTCTTTTTCTATTTAATCATATTGGGGCACATTTTTTGAAATACTGCAGTTCTCATGTTTAATCATTAAATAATGATTTACAAAAGCTATGTCGGGAGACTATATTCAATATTTCTTTACATATTTCATACGTTGTGCTTTACTGACCTGCAGTGTGTGTTCAATGGCATTTGGGAAGTTCTTGAGGGTGCAGATGGGGATGGACTTCTCAGGTGGGTCTTGGCTGGAGCTGTACGACTCTGTGAGGAAGGGGATCACGACCTGCACATTGCCTTTGGTACCCAAAGTACCGGACTCCAGTAGGGGTTTGCGGTAGTACACACACCTCCGATCCATGTACATACCTACACGCCGGGCACAAACACAAGGCAGAAGAAACAGCATAAATAAAGAGGACGATGTTTGGTTTCAAGATCGCACATTTGATTTGATATAAAAGGAAGCAGTTAAAATAGAGTTGTGTTCCTTACGTGCGTCAACATTGTCCAGTGCATTTGTCACGCCATCAAGGCTCTCAAAGAAGTCGTCGTCGTAGACCCTCTCTGTGTCGGGGCCAACTCTGTTCTGGTGGCCTGTGATCCTGATGGAGGGGTTCATCTGCTTCACTGCAGCTGCAGCTGTGTCACTCTTCATTTTCTGTAACCACATACAAACATTTATTTACTTTCACTTTCATGAAAAATGACAACTAGCAGGTCTTCCAGTACAGTGATGACTCAATCGTTACTGACTTATGGAACATACACAAATCTTTACATTGCTACCAGTGGTAACGTTCCAACAACAGTTACGGCCTACAGCACTTGTTTTTTAAGGCTCCTCAAACCACAACTTTTTTGGTAACATGACCCTTGGCTAAACTGAAACAAGACTAGTCACTTATCAATAATAGTGTTCTTATACCTATCGGTCACTAAAAAAGGTACCGGCAATTGATTAAAACAATACACCGACAATGATCGATTAAGCAGTCGGTTTTTTCCATTGAATGTTTCCTCAGGATATTGTCCATCAAGAGCATTTACAGGATGTGCATTCAGGAGCAGCTACAATACACAAGAAATCCATATGCAGCACTGCCTGGAAATCTAAATCAATAGATAGATAGATTTCCATATCTATCAAGAGACCGGTTGATCAATATGGCGTAGATGGTACTGACCGTAACGTCGGAGGGTCTGAAGAGGAACTGTCTGTTGAGGTTGGATTTCTCGATGGTGTCCATGTCCGTCACAATGACCTCGCCCTTCCCGCATGCCAGTCCAATCATGGCAAAGTTTTTCAACAGCTCACAGCCAATGGCACCGGCTCCAACCTGGAATGATTAAAACCACATCCCCTTTGATTGATCCGTTCTTTCACAGTAGGAACATTTAATAATAAATGAATAACACATAATCGCTGAGAATGCATGACCAAGAAGTCCCATTTAAAACCCATTTATAAATTCTCCTCAGCACACACTGATACCATCAGCGTGAGAAGCAGAGTAGCACTCAGTTACACCCAGGGTGCATCAGTATTAGCATGGCTAGATCATCATCGGAGAACAACTACTGCATTAGCTATATACACCATCCTTATTTTCTCCTATTGCATCGGCCAATAAAGTGACGTGTGCAGATGGCAGTAGCCAGGGTTCATCGGTTTTGCTAGGCTATGTGAATTAGTACTGTTGCAGAGGTCTTTAAATTTGATACAAAAAGAACAACCTGGAATGCTTAAAACCTCTCAGTGAGAAAAGCTACCTAGGTGTACTCTGCTTTGGAATAAAAGGCTGAATACATTTCTTTTTGGGCTATAGAGATAATACTTGTTAGCAGATTTGATAATTTTTTGGCTTTATAAAAAGGGATTCTGACACAAAATATCCCCAGACTTTAATAGCAACAATATGTAAGAAGAGGTCCTGCAAAGTGTTTTTATTTGGCAGACTCACCAGGAAGTAGCGCTGTTTGCCAAGCATCTCCTGCAGCTTGGTGCCGAACACTGCAATCTGCCCGTCATATCGGCAGTTCCTCTGGGAAACAAGATAGAGCTCGTTAACACCATTATTTATTGCCACCATCATGAGCATCCTTCCTCAGTATAAGTGTGGGAAGCTGAACACTTACAGGGGCACACTCTTCCTCTGTGAGCTCGGCTCCTCCTTCCTGTTCAGGCAGGCACTCCAGGGCATCAAAGTACAGCCACTGCATAAGAGGCATAAACTTTCCTGTGCACGCCTGAAGGAACAACAAGCATTTAAGGGCACAGTTAAAGAATGTATCATGGATAACAAATAATTCAACTGGTTAGTTAGTACATGTTCAGAAGGGTTTGAATGACTGATAATGCATTTCAATAACATACACCGTAGCATACCGAGAGACTGAAAACATGATTTAAACAAAACAAAAGTGGCTACTTCAGGACCGAATCGACCTCAATTTAAACCCAGTGTGCAACTGACCTTCATCACTTCCTGTGCAGCCAGACCTCCGATGAAGGCATTGAGAGGGGCCAGGTCACCAGCAGCGACAAACGACAGCTTTTTGATAAGAGCTTCGTCCAGCTGCTCCACTTTAGCTGACCCCGTCTGAGCAGCGTTGACCTCCTTGGCCAATGTCAAGAACTCCTCACCATCAGCCTAGAGTAAACACACATTTGCATGTTACAAAAGGCTTAAGACAACTCAACAACTGATATTATATTTTGAAATGCAGTGCTGCAAATAAACTCTGCGTTATCTTAGTTATGAAGTTAAAAACAACGTTAGAATCCAATAATAGTTAACATGGTTAAAATGGTTGAGCTTTCTACTGAGTAAGTGAACCAAATCTAAGATTCTTCAAGCACCTGTGGTATTTATAAAAGACACGAGTAGGATTTACCTTGCTCCAGGGTGCAGGAAGGTGGTTGTGTTTCTTCTGGAAGGCGTGGACAGCCTGGAAGCCCACATGCAGCTGTCCTGGGCGATCAAACTTGGCAAAGTCTGTCAGCACAAACTCAGGCTCAGCCATGGAAGAAGAGAAGGATTTCTGCACGAGAAAGACAAACGAGATGAGTAAGGTTAGACAAGTTAAAATGTTCCACTAGCAAATTATGAGGGGTTTTATGTGGCAATTAGAAACCCCTTTGCTGATCAGGAGCAAAACATGTAAGACAGACTTTGAAATGCACATAAAAGTGAAACTCCAAAAGTTCGATGATTGAAAAATAATCTGTAAAATCGCCATGTCACGAAAACATAATTAGGTGTGGAGATTGGAAGTCACTTACAAAAGCAATCTTCTTGGGCATCTTGACCTGGGAGACGATTCCTCCTCTTATGTAATCCATGAAGCCAGTTGTGTCACAGATGCTGAAGGTATAGGGTCCTGCACAGGGAAGAAGTCATGTCAATGTAAGATTAACCAAAACATGTGGTTCTCTCACATAGAAACAGGACTTACCCAGAACTTTAATTTCCACTGGCGAGCAGCCATTGAGCTCCGTCATACCCTGAACCTCTGTGAAGGTGACGTAGTCTCCGCTCTCAAAGCCATGGCGAGTCTCATCCAGACATGTCACAACCGCTTGATTGTCCTGGAGAAACCAAGAATGAAGAACATTGTCCAAATAATGTTAAACGTAAAGCTTTTTCTGATTGTCAAGCGCAGCAAGTAGCTGGAAAAATTATTTAGGCCAGATGTAAAGACTAACCTTGGTGATCATAGAAATCATGGAACTAAGTGGCTGTTCTCCATTGGTGTCTAACACTGACATCTCCTCACCAAAGTCACAGAAAAGCTGGCTGTAAAATACAACATCACACAGCATTAGACAGTGACACGTGTATACACTGCATTAGGAAAGAATATGAAGTAGAAAAGTCAGAATCTTACCCAAACAGGCCACGTGTGTCTGCGATGACCAGCTTGATCCCTTTGGCGTGGCAGAACTCTCCCAGTTGCTGCTGCTCTTCTATATTTGAGTCAGTCAGCACTACGACCTGGGACACAAAAAAGAAAAATACCCGTTAGCATCCATTTTTCTTTCCTTTCTGGCTGTGAGAATCAGTTAGGCACTAAGTTCTAGCCAAGTCATACCTGGAAATCGGTCATGAAGTCTCCAGTGAGTGTTTCGGTGAAGGCAGTCACAGGAACGTAGTTGTTGAGCTCAGCCAAACGCAGCCGACTCACCTCTGCCCTGTTCTTCCCAAGGTCTGCCTCCCGCAGGTAAAACTGGCAACAGTAATATACAAAACGTCAGGGAAATACTGATACCAAGTTAAATATTCAGTAAGCCAAATATGATTACTTGCATACAAGATCTTTGGAAAGGTTCGTCACCCAATTCAAACGGAAGAACACTTTCCTATCACTCCCTCTCTTTCATTTCGCTCAAATTAGGGCTCAAAATACAGCCTATTAAGTGGTCTGCCTACAAACAATGTGAGCCACTCAGCTGGTATCCTCAATGGCAGAGCAAAGAAAGTGGGGAAAGGCAGCCTTCTGAGCCATCATTTTTGACAAGTACCTGGTTGCATGAAAGGATTTTAACCACAGTTTGAGCGTTGGAACAGTGGAAAGACTTGACCGACCGCTTTACTTTATTTCGGTTTCATTTCAATGAAGTGTCTTTAACGGATGTATTTTACTGTGTAATAAGGAGAAATGGTATAAGAATATTTCCTCTCCTGACATTTCTTTGGACTCTATTTATAACAATAAAGAAGCTTACAACTTACGCAATGTAGCTGAATTGCTTTTATTTTGATTCAGGCATGGTTTACATTTACTGTAATTAAAAGGATTGTTCGGGACTGTTCCAGAATAAAGTGAGTCTGGAGCCCTGCCTCAGTCAGACTCACCTGGCTGATATTTTCTACGCAGAGTTCCATTTTTTAGTTGCCCAATGAATGTTCCTACTGTGAAAAAGAATACATCAGAGGGGATGTGTTTCTTTTTGTTCAAGTGTAGCAAGTGTGGACGTGGCCAGAGATTAAGTGGTTGATTAAATAGATGACAGAAATAAGTTATGCAATTCAGCCAGAATGAAGAAGAAACTGGGGCAAATGGCACAGGCGGAAATAGAAATGTTTGAGAGCACAAGAGTTAACTCGGGTATTACAAACATATGCAACCATAATCTTCTGCCAGCCAATTCACAATGACCTGTATGGCCTTTGGATAAATACATCAAAACTCAGATCAGAATAACAAACAATCTCTTCACTCTAGCTGACCATGGGAGAGGCAACCCACTGATCAATCTGGGTCAGCCTATGGTTAGCAAGGGTGGGGGTGGCTGCAGTACTCTTTTTGGATGGCAACAATACTACAAACCAAGTGACTCATAACCAATAGAACCAAACTGTACTTTGGATTCAGGCTCAAAGGCTAAGGCACAACTGCTGAATCTGCAATAAAGTATAATGGCTGAGTGAACCACTGACTGCCTGAAAACCATAAATGGGAAACATTTCTCAAAAGAAAAATCCATGTATTTTTGCAACATAATATCTGTGCACGCTTCTTCATACCTGAGAGGCGAGGTCTCTCCATTCTGCAACTCCTTGGTCATGCACAGTGACACTCCTCACTCCTGCAAGGATTACGTTCTTGGCAATCTCTACTCCAAGACCTCTCATACCAGAGATAAGGACATTGGAGTTCTGCATGCGCTTCATCGCAGCATGGCCCAACACGTAACTACGGAAGGAGATAAGGCACCATTAGAACAACTGTTTAGTTAAACAACCATTCCAGGTTGTCAATTTCAGTTTTCAGTTGACTTACAGCTGTCTGGAGTACAGGCCTTCATCGATCTCAGCATCATTGCCATTCTTAGCCATGCCCTGAAAAGACACAGAGGGATTGCCATCAGTTTGTGTAACATGTTTTACCAACAGTATAATGTATGTATGTGTTTGTACTCACGTTGGCAGGTGTATGGGACAGATCAGTTCTGACAGAGTTGGATGAGGAGCAATGGGATCCCGTCTTCGTCTCTGTTCCTGACAAGCGACGCTTCTTGGACAGCGGCGAGCTGGACATCTGCGCATCAAAACAAACACAAACCGTTAAAGCCTATTGTGAAGCATGATAAGATAATAAAATGTTGCCATTTAAAATTTCCAATGAACAAGATTTTATTTATTCATTTACAATTGTTATGTATCGAATTTAAAGTCAACAGTTTCAACAATTATGTAAATCAAACAGAGTGAAGAAACTCAGTGTCAGCATGTTTGTATTTCATGGAGGTTTTCAAATAAGTGCAAAATATATATCTAAATGCTACGGCTCTATATCAGCAGTATCCAAGCCGAACGCTGCCCAATCCCCTTCATGTTCAAGAGGATTTCTCGTCTAGGGAGCAGCTGGGCTGGCTGCTGGCCAAACACAAATCTGCTAGAAAACGAACTGGGCCCGGGAAGAGACATGAATAGCAGCATTATCAGTTATTTTCATGCTCGGAGACAGGGCTGGCCTGTTTATGTACTTCTATTGTCCATTATACCGGTATTTAAGGACCGCCAACATCGTTTCAACAAAAAGAGCTGAATCATTACAACTTCACTGCGGTAAAGTGAGCAACACCTCACGGCGGCCTGCAGGTGTGGACACAAGGTCCATACAATGCCGTTTGAACGATCCTCAGTGTGGCGATATGAAAAGGGCGTCAACAAAAAAAAATGTCTATCTTTAAAAGCCATCCAAGTACATTGTGATAAACGGAACAATCGAGACAAACCCAGCCGCTTTAGGAAGTGAAACAGGCCGCGATCTCTCGAACATATCCTCACTGCACGGCATTCATGATCGGACACAATTTCCGCATCCAATGCAGCTAAACTTAACGGTACAGGCGTCGAGAAAGTCAGACGTAACCGTTTATTTACGTCCTTACAGATAAGAATAATGAAGGGAGTTGACCAAAGTTGTTAAATAAATAACGATATAACCAATCAAAACCCAACGTTGTATTTTACTGAACCGTCACTGTTAAACTAAAATGAAGGCAAACAATGATACAGCAAATCAAATGAGCAATACAATATGTTAACTGACGAAATCAAGCCTTTAACGTTGAAGAACACGGTGCATGAATGTCCCTACACACAAACAAGAGGAAACCGATTAAGTTCGTTGCTTGCCACTAATCAGTTAAGTGATTTGGCGAAGTGAACACAGTCGCAACATAAATAACTTAGAGGCAAGAAAACACCAGCCAGCCTATCCATTAGCAGCTCGGCCTAGGCCTGCATTTCCCCCAGTGCGGAACACAACTTTACCAGCTAGCAGCTGTAGCTATATGCAACCTACTCGCAAAATACAGCAATGGTTTCATTTTGTCAGCTAGCCAACATAGCTCCTTTATTAATATCGATCGTGTTTCCAACACTCAACAAAAACCAGCATTCAAATTAATCGCCCAATATAAGATTATTTTGCGAATGTAAGACTAGCCTTTTCACTCGTGCTCCATTGATTTCTCTTTTCTTACCAATAATCCTTCTCGGTCCCTTCCCAATGCGAACCCGCTCCTCTCCCGCAGTATCTAGATGTCAGTAAAATCGATGGTTGTAATTTGGACGATTCGAACAAAGAAAAGAAACGCGGTGTAGGATTAGGAGGGTCTGCGGTATACTGTCGAGTCACTATGTCGTTGTGCTGAGAGTCTCGTCTATGTAATTGCGTTGCTGGCTTTGCGACTGCATACGGGAACAAAACCAAAATGGCAGATGGGAGAAAGGGGCGGAGGAGCTGTGACGCATGGGCTGAAATATTCAACAGGAAAGGGAGGCTGTGAGCACGCTGCTCGGACAGGAGCTCCGCTCATTGGCTGCCTAACATAAGCCAACGTGCATCCATCCCGCCCCTTTAACCAGAAGATGCATGCCATGTATGTTACTGTACAATGAACTGCAGGACCACCAGCGATCATTGGAAGGAAAATCTTGCAATTCTTACAGAAATAACGAGCAGAGCATGTCTGACGTAAATTAAAGAAAGCAAAGGTCCTACACGGACTATACTTTAGCATTTTGAAAAAGTGTAGACCAGTCTATCCCTGATTAATGAAATCCAACAACAATAACAGCATATTTGTGACTGTGGCTTTGTGTTGAAAAGTCGCCTCGTTGTGGAACTACACTGCATATACACAACTTACAAAAGACAAAATGCACCATGAAACACAATATAATCTGAACGCTATACCAAATTGGAGACTCATTGCACGACAATTGAAGTATTGTAGTTTAGAGATGTGGTTCTTTATCAGAGTTCAGCACAACTTATCTCAAGTCAAGTCTGATGTTGCTCCAATGGTAACTGAGCCAGGTACTACATCAGGTAGGATACTTGCTAGCCCTAGTGATGCTGAGCGTCTGGGCCCTCTGTCACATTGAGGTTAGGGGGTGAGCATTCCTTGCAGAGGAGGAGAATTGGGGGAGGGGGTGCCTGGCAAATGACAAAGGCCCAGGAAAAGAGTGGGCCGCATATTCTCGGGTACACATGTCGAGGGGATCCCCATTCTCACATCAATGCTGCGAAATGATAAACACAATATTTTCCACCATTCCAACAGAGTTCAAAACAAAGAACATAATAAATGTCATGTTAACAGACATCCCAACTTGGCAAGCTAAAAGGAGACCTCTCCAATAATGAGTTGCTGTGGTAGCATCAATTATCGTCCTATCGTAACGTTATCAAAAATACATATATAGAAGGTGAATTGTTGCCAGTGTGGTCTTACAAACACTGCGTGGTGCAAGTTAGCTTGTGTCTGCTTCTGAACACTGCGAGCATCTGGTGTTTGTAGCCAACTAGCTTTCAAGCTACTGTTAACGGTATTCATCACAGGACATTAGTTGAAACAGCAGTCTCGTGCACATAAAGGTGTGAATTCCAATATGTAGTTAACGGTTACGTGCCAGTATTTTCTATGCTACGGTAAGCAGAGGAGCAACGCTGAAATTGTCCAAAAAGCCGACAACAACTAACGTAAACGATAACCAGTAACGCAGATCAAACGACTGCGTAGTTGTTAGCTTATGTGCAGCTAGCTTTAAAGCTATATAGCCACCCAACGACTTTTTCCTACTTCCAGCCGCTATGTTAGCTTAACTAGCTAACGTTAGCAAACTAGCTGGGGCTAACACTATCAAGAAAAGAGCTTTCACAAGTGTGCAGAACTTACCACATCCGATAATACTCGGCCTGATCTGCAGTATTAAAATCGGTTTGTATTTAAGCAAAAAAAAAAACTAACAAAGAATGGGACAATTTAACAGTACCGCGGATTGCAAAGTGAAAAATGTGGCTCTGTGTGAGTTTTTCCGCTGGACGGCTGCCTGACCGGCTGTTCCAGAACCGTTTCCCCTCACTCTATTTCAGTTGAAAGCAAAGCAAAGCAGCAACATGTGCACGTTACAGGCACAACCACCATTCTCTTCAAGAGGGTTCATCCATAACTGATTTAAATACATGTATCACAAGTACATTGAATTATTACTCTTTAATCTTGTTCCACACTACTTAGAGAATCAAGTATATTGAATGTTACACTAGTTCATTGTTTGATCGCATGTTAACTTTTAACAATTATTTCCTTCACCCCCATGCTTCCACAAGTATAGACTAATCCAAAAATCCCGTAGGGCATGATGGGAGTTGTAGGCATGGCGTTTATCATGCCTCTGTGAAATCATTGGATAACGGTTCTTTCAGCTTTAGCAATAAAAAGCGTTTACGTGATTCCATTTATATAATGCTGCTATTCATATTAAAAACAGCTATTAGAGTTGAATCAACTCCTGTCAAATAACTTTTAATCAATGAAAAAACGAACGATATAAAGCATATTTTTTTAATTTTTGTAATTGAAAGACTTGCAAACAGTGCACAGTTTACACAGAGACAGGATAGTGGATTTAAAGACTTGTTCAGGAGAAAAGCACATAACCTGGTATTACATAGATCCAAAAGCAGAATGAACTTCCATAAATACTTTTTTACATGTTAAAAAAGGAGCAAATATAGACAGTATTATCAAATCAACAGTAACAATTGAATGCATGACAAAACTGGAGAAAAACCAAAACAAACTCCATGGACAAAACTGTGGAGAATTATGAAGTGTGTGTGTGTGTGCGCATGCGTGTGTATGTGTGTGTGTGTGTGTGTGTGTTTGTTATTGGAAAGCCTTTGAAAACTAGCATCTCAATTTTGATCAAGCTCTCAAACAGGTGTGGAGCAACTCACAACACTTCGAGTGACAATTCAAGTTTAAATACACTATAGGCTATATAATAAAAACAAATCTCAATCTGCAGCAGCTAATGAAATGGCGAACTTCCGTACAACTCTTTGACTGATAGTTTATGATTTTGCAGCCTCACTAGTTGAATTAATAGCTACATAAATAAAAAGGAATGGAAAATAATGACATAGGATGTGCTGCTTAAAAAAGAAGTAAATGTCAGTTTAGTTATGAGGAAGTTTACAACATAGGATGAAAGCAGGAATCAGGAACCAAGTTCTTTGTATTTATTTACACTTTGTAAGGAATAATGGAAATATTACTATACATAACACTCCCCCTCCCAAATAACTCGCACTATAAGCTGATCATTGTACCACAATATCTTACTTGTGTACATTTAGGATTTGCAAACTGCGCTGAATGCTTAGATTTGAGTATAACAAGGTTGTGTTGCAAGCATTTTGATGTGCACAATCTGGATTTGCTTTTATGATCTTTCTTTTTGCAGCTCTCATACAGAGAGATGTACTACTCCTCCTACACTCAAGTCATGAGTGTATTTAAATGCCATAGTTAATTTTTCTCTCAGACCAGTATTCTCAAAAGGAACATACAGCCGTACATGGTTACTTTTCCTTTTTGCGTTAGTGGATGATACTTGGGTGGGAGACAGTGTCTCTAAACCCCTTGAAATTTGAACCATAAATCCAATGTTCCATCGGTTGTGTATCATGGACAACTGTTTTATAGCCCTCTGTCCATCCCAGCTCCGGTGGACTGGTTGGTAGAAGCAGCATCCCTCTGTCCCTCCCTGTCTTCTTGCTCTCCTATAGCCTGGGGTGGGGAGGGTGGGGGATAGGAGGGAGGAGGGATAGTAAGGTGAGGCAGAGATGGCAGCGCAGGCCTGGGAGAGGTTGGAAGAGGCGGTGGAGTTGCAGAGTTTGCAGTCGTGGTATGTTGTGAGGAGCGGGCGCGGGAGGTGGCAGGAGAGGCGTGTGTGCTCCTGGCTCGTAGCGGCTCTGCAGGGCAGTCACTGATTTGCTCCAGCAGCGACGGCATGTCTCCCTCAATCTTCTCAAGCACGGCGGCCATTTGCTTTTCGATCTGCTCAATCACACTGTCCATTTGCCAGTCGCTTGTAGTGCTGCTCCCGCCTGCTCCATGTGGTAGCCCAGTCCCATACATCCCTATTCCTCCTCCGGTCATATATAGGGAACTGTATGGACTCCCATAGCTCCCTGCCATCCCCATTCCTACAGTCCCAACTTCTGGGTTGTATGGAGTGGCGTGACGGCCCAAACTAGCAGAGCTGCCTGTGTAACAACCCTGTCCTGTTGCAGGACCTGGCCTTGCCATGCTGAACTCAGCGCTGTATGTGTCTGTTGCCCTAGTATCCCTATCCCTTCTCACCATGGGGCTATCCTCACCCCTTAATCTAACTCCTCGTCCTGCATCAGCCCCAGTTTCAGGTGCCACTGTTTGAGCGACTACCACTGACCTCTCTGCCACTGCCTCAGGTAACTCTGTCTGGCACCAGCTTCCATCAGTCTCATCCCTCTGGTCCTTCTGCATTGCTGGCCTCTTGTCTGGTGAGGCTGTCCCAGCAGCAGAGGCTTTGGGTGTGGGGCCATGGAGCGTTGCAGCCATCTTACGTTTACTGTTAGGATCAGGGGAGGCGGATGTGTGTTTTTTGTTCAGGTTAGTCCCTGAAAACCCGTCTGACAGCTTGGAGGGGTCAGGCGTCGTCATGGGAGTTGGTTTGGATTCTGGAACAACTTTACCTTGACCCAAGTTGGCAGCCATCTTCCTGGTTCCATCACCTGCTGCTTTCTTTGCACCAACCTTGTCAAGCTCCTCCTGTGCGAGTTTGAGGGCTGCATTTGATTGGCTTTTCTGACAGAGAGGCTCCTGAACATCTGAGGGGGAAGTTCCTACTGATGGGCCTATACTTTTCTTTGCCTCATCCTGATTTTCTGCGACCTTACTCCTCCCCTCATCCTTTTCTATACCCAGCGGTGTATTTTCAACCGTAACTTCTAAAGACACACTGCTTGATGTCACTCCTTCATCACTTGTTCCTTTGTCTCCCTCATCACTTGTCCCATGGGACAACACTCTTTCACTATCTCCTGCCTCCTCTGTGCTCTGAGCCTCAGCTGAACTGTCATTCAGGGCCTCTGAATTCTTCAATCGTTGCATGAAGGTGGTGACACGGATCGCTTTCTGCAACACAGACAGATGAAAAAAAGAGGAGAGGAAGATATAGGTGTTAAAGGCATTAGAGTTACAGTATGTTGCTTTTTTTCATTGACACCCATATTGGTTAAATAAAAGAAAAGCGTTGATCCTATATTTGGTTATGGCAATGCAAATAACATAAGATTGGAAAACAAGTATTTGACAAAAAGCCTGTCACGGCACCATGATTTATCAGTATCATAATAAGCGTGAGATGTGACAGTAAGATTGGTGCCATTTGTTTACTTCCAGGAGGCTATGATACATTTGTACCCTGGTTTAAATCAATCTCAAGACTCACTCACTCCATGCCACTCCTTGACTGCTTGTTGTCTGGAAAAGGTAAGTGAAAAGATGGGTGTAAATCTCAGTCACTGTTACACCCATCTGACTTATTATGATTTACAAACACTTAAGGAGTTAAAGAAAATGTGTAGGCTTAGAAGTTGTGTTTAAACCAGGGAATCGATTCTCTGGAAGTGAAAAGCCATTTGGACAGACATATCACTGAATACAATATGGTTTGACTGAGAAGCTTTTGTACAGCTTCAAGTATGACTTGAATGTAACACTGAGGTACAGTATGGGTCAATGAACCAGGATTCACGTAAGAGGAATGACAGAGGGCCTTAGAGATCAAATCACTGCGGTTCAACAGTCCACAGTGGCCTACATCCCTTATATCCTTTCTATTTCTCCCTCTCCTTATCTACACAAAAAAACAATACCGACAATGAGCAAACCCCTTTCCCTATTGTGGAACATAAACTTGTTTTTATCAATCTGGTTTCATATACTAGTGCAGATGAGGAGTAAGAAAGGAGTAGAGCGAGCCACTTTGAACATCTTGGTCTAAATCCAATGAAGAAAAGTGGGACAGAGTGGATGGATCTCTTCTGGGACAGGACATGAGTGACAGTGGGCAGGAACAGAGCATCTGAGAAGACTTTCACCAGCCAAACATGTTCAATACATCTTGAGGCTGACTGAGGATTGACTGAGATGTTCTGATTTGATTATTA